TACCACTGTATACTCAAAAGAACTGAAAGAGGCTCTCAAAGAGGCATTTTTACACATGTCTACTTAGCAGGATTACGTACATTTGGATGGAAGCAACCCAAATGTTATCAGTGTTTGTATATTCAAACATATAGTGGGAGGTTACTCAGCACTGAAAAGGAAAGAAATGTTGATGAACCTTGAAGCCACTATGCAGAGTAAAATAAGACAGTACCAAAAAGTCAGTACTTTTAATAAGCCACTTACGTGAGGGATCTAAAATACCAAATTCACAGAGACGGAAGGCACAGTGTTACTGGGGCTGGCCGGAGAAGAGAGGTAGAGAAAAAAAGGTGTGTGATGAATACAGTTTCAATTTTGGAAGATGAGGAAATCCCGGAGACGAGGAAAACTGGACAAAAGGAATATATTTAATGCCAGTGAGCAGTGATCTCTCCTTATCCATGGGGGAGATGCACTCCAAGAGCCCCAGGGGATGTGTAAACTGTGGTATCTCCAAACCCAAACACTGTGTACATACGTATGTGAATGTGTTTTCTTCATTTATAAATTAGGCATAGTTTGAGATTAACAGTTACTTGCTGACTTAAACACCTTTTCTATTTTAAGATCTTTCTGCTTTTCACTTTAAGGGAGCACTTTAGCACATCCCTTTGGGGTATCTGAACTGCCGCCGCCACCACTACACTGGAGCTTTGGGCCCATTAAGTGAAAAAGAATTTACTTGAACACCCAGAGACAGTATGGCCATACTGGAGCTGAGAACGAGGACAGCCATAGGTCTAACAGTTAAGTAGTGTATACAGTGAGGACACACTGACAAGGAGATGGTGCCCTTCCCAGGCAGAAAGACACCTACTCGGAACAGTGCTTCATTTAAAAGTTGTTTCTGGAGTTTTCCCTTTAATATTTTCATAGTAGTTGACCACACATAACTGAAATTAAAGAATGTGAAAATATGATACTATTCACTCAAAAAATGTTCAGGTTTCTTTAAAAATATGTTTTTCAGGGTTGGACATGGTTCAAAAGTTAACAGTACTTGCTGTTCTTCCAGAGGCTATGAGTTTGGTTGCCAGCACCCATGTCAGGCAGCTCATAGCTGTCTGCAATTCCAGCACTAAGGGATCCATCACTCTCTTCTGGTCTTCTCCAGCACCTGCATGTATGTGTGCATATACATACATACAGTCACACACACACACACATATACACACAAACATATACATGAGAAATAAAGTAATTTTTTTTAAAAAGGTAAACTTTGTCACATGTGCCCCATCATATTTTCTAAATGTTGGATAGAATTGGTAGAGGGGGCAGGAGAAGGCAGGGTCTCCATGGCAAGACTGGTATCAGGGCCTGGCAAGTGTTCTGGCAGCAGAATGCCAGCGTCTGTGTTCTTCCAGAGGCTATGAGTTTGGTTGCCAGCACCCATGTCAGGCAGCTCATAGCTGTCTGCAATTCCAGCACTAAGGGATCCATCACTCTCTTCTGGTCTTCTCCAGCACCTGCATGTATGTGTGCATATACATACATACAGTCACACACACACACACACATATACACACAAACATATACATGAGAAATAAAGTAATTTTTTTTAAAAAGGTAAACTTTGTCACATGTGCCCCATCATATTTTCTAAATGTTGGATAGAATTGGTAGAGGGGGCAGGAGAAGGCAGGGTCTCCATGGCAAGACTGGTATCAGGGCCTGGCAAGTGTTCTGGCAGCAGAATGCCAGTCTCTGCCTTGGGCTCTGTAGCCCAAGGCCATGTGGAAGGGTCCAAGCCTCACTCAGGTCATTCTGCTGCTGGGGTCAAGAGCCCCTCTACCTGGTCCAAATAACCTGTCTTCTGGAAGTCTTTATCATTAACATTGCACTGGAGGAGCTTTATTGGCTGAAACCAAATTACATCCCAAGAGGAAAGGCAAGCTGGTGCAGGGGCCACAGCGAAGCATCTTTAGGCCTTTACTGTGGCAGAACTGAAAAGGCCTGCCTGGGTCGGTGGGAACTGTTTTATTTTGGTTTCACTCATTTCCCTGATAACTGTCCAGAAGAAATAGATAAAAAATTATTTAGGTCGAGGATAAAATAGTGTTCCATTTCTGTCTGATTTCACTCTGCTTTTCATAACCCTTGACCCAGAAAGGGGGCACAAAAGAAACCATCACAAGCACAGTCAAAGAGTATTTCTCCCATACCAGTTGGTTTGACTGGCACACAAGAAGAGACTGACAAAGTGAACAGGGCATACAGTATATAACAGTCCTTGCCTTAAGGATGAAGGTGAGGGGTGTGTAGTAGCTCATACAATGATAATGAACTTAACTGAACCAGATGAAGAGTCTCTAAGACTATTTTGGCCGGAACAAGAAAAATGCAAAAATAGCTGGTTCAGTTGCTGCACACATGAGAGAAATTCATGAAAAAGAGGAAGTTTTATCTCCCACAAGAACTACATAATGCAACCTGCAGAATGCCCTTCGTACCCTGAGAACACTTTTTTTTCTTTTTTGGTCTTTTTGAGACAGGGTCTCCCTGTAGCCCTAGCTGGCCTGGATTCACTATGGAGAACAGGGCTGGCCTCGAACTCACAGAGATCCGCCTTCCTCTGCCTCCCGAGTGCTGGGATTAAAGGCATGCACCACCACGCCCGGCTGAGAACACCTTTTAAGACAGAATGTTACCCTGGGTTTGGCCAAGACTTTTGGAACTGTGAAGGTTACAATCCAGAGCCTGCCAAATAGCAACCACGAGTTCAAAGACCAGGGTAGTGAAGCCAAGAGGGAGTATGCATCACTGAAGGACCAGCAGGGAGAGCAGTACTGGTACATCCCCTCGGGAACAGGCTCTGGGAGCAGTGCTGCCCTGCCCGTGCCCTGAGCCTTGCACAGCCAGCCTGTGAGGCTATATTCTGCAGAAAAGAATGTGCCTTCCTAGTGCTCTTGCTTTTATGGCCTTCACTGCTTGGTGGTAGATAGTCAAGGTAGGCTCAGCATCATGCAGAGTTAATCTTTCTACTTGGAAGCAGGTCAGTCTTCCTTACAAATGAATATCACTGTCAGGTTTGCATTTCATTCCCCCATCAACAGATGATTTGACTACTGAAGATGGAAAAAAAATCTATGGTTTAGAAAGAACTCATAGTCTGAGTCCTGTAGAGGTCTTTTTTTATTAATTTTTCAATAGGTAAGTGATTTGCCAGGTTTTCGGTGATATGCCAAGTGGAAATGGGAGGATATTGATTGAGTGTGATATTTTTCTTCAAGTACCAGATTGTACTGCATATAAAAGTGTGATCAATTTTTTGGAAAAAAAAGAAAAAGACTAAAAAATGGTTCAGTGTTTTCCCCACAAGTCTGAGGACTGGAGTTCAGATCCTTGGCACGCACATAGATGTCAGGGGCTCATGGACATCATGACCCACATAAAATCCTAGCATGTGAGAAGCAGTGACAGAGGATCACCAGAGCAGGCCAGCTAGCTAGAGCAACTGAATCAGAAAGCTCTGGGTTCATGTGAAAAACCCTGCCTCAGTAGGTAAGGTGGAGAGCAACTGAGGAAGACGCCTAATGTCAACCTGCCTACACACACACACACGCACGCACACACACGCACGCACGCACACGCACAAACATGCATACATGCACACAGGCACGCACACGCACACACACACAAACATGCATACACACACACGCACACACACACAAACATGCATACACACACGCACGCACATGCACACACACACACACACACACAAAGTTGGATGGCTATTTTGTTGCATCTTCTCTCTAACGAGAAAGGAAAGTAAAATGCTGAGGAAGAAGCTGAGACTAGACACTCACAACACAATTCTGACACTTCAGTTCTCATAGCTTGTTCTTAACATATGAAATTGTGATACTTCACCTAAGAGTGACAGGTTTAAGCTGTGCAAGATTTCAAAGACATTTCAGATAGGACTCCTGAAGAAGCCACTTGGAATCAGAGAGGTGGTCAGAGTAGAATTGTTACAGCCATAAGGTAACCTTCTATTTCACTTCCAAACATCGAGTGGTTCTCCCAGACTAGCACCCTGCATGGTAAAACTGGCCCTTCGCACGGAGTCATCATTCCCTCTGCAGTGATGCAGACACGCACTCATGCCTGTGCTTTGTTTTGGATTCATGATTCGCCCTCTTTCCCGCACCACTTGACTCAACCACTGGAAGTTCACTACGGCCAGACTGCTTCCTTAATACATTTCTAGATGTTCTTTGGCCCTTGAAGTGACTTCAGTACCTCTCTGGTAGTTTACATTGTCAACTACCGCCTAAGTTATGTGTTAGTACACATTCCTAAGTGCTTTATGTGGAGCAACTCATTCAACCCTCAGCATTACCTCACAAGGTTGGTGCTACTAGTCTCCCATTTTACAGACAGAGAAGCTGAGGCACAAAGAAATAAACCACTTGGTCTCAAAATGGGACATTAAGGAACAGATTGGCTCCAGAGGCAGAAGTCTGCATCCTTTTTAAAAAAACACTGTCTTTTAATGATGGTTAATAATCATCCATCTATGTGGGTCCCACTCTGATATTTTGGTACATTCAGTTATTGTACAGTAACCAACTCAAGATACTTGGGTTGTCCATCATCTCAACCATTTATCACTTCTTTGGAATGAAAGCATTCACTATTCTCACCTCTAGCTATTTTGTGTTACGTGGTACAATTCAGTTAACCATAGGCAGCCTAAGTGTGCAAGTATACACAACACCCCCACTTATTTCTCCTATCTGCTGACTTTGTACCCATCAGCTAACTTTCTGCATGAGAAGCCCATCAACAAGCATTTCACAATCTGCAGGTGACCGGCCTTAGCCACTCACTCTGCTGCTACAGAGTAAGAACACTCAAGGACAAGAGGCGCACAAACTAGCAGGGGACTCCAGTAAAAACCCATGTCCAATGACACTTTAATTTTACACAAACTTGATGCCACGAAGTATTACCTCTGATTTCTTTCAACCATTAAGAGCTGTAAAAACGAACTGGGCGTGGTAACTGCTAGCACTTGGGAGGCTGAAGCAGGAAGACTGCCAGGAATTCAAGACCCTCTGCAGTGAATTCCAGACTAGCCTGATCCATAATAGCGTGAAGCCCTGTCTCAAAGAAAAAAAAAGTTTTAGCTCATGAGTCATATAAATCTACACGGGACACAGTATGCCGAGCCCCACTCTAGAGAAAAACTGTTTTCATCTCTAATTAATCCATACCCCAAACAAAACATCAAGCCCCTCGCCCTCCTATCAGGTGCATCCTCCAGAACACCAGCTTCATCCAGCTGTGAAGCAAAGCAGCTGCCAGCAAACACAGGCAGTGAACGGCTCTTTCCCAGTGCCTGCAGGTCCCTGGAATCACATAGCACCGTCAACACTGGCAGGAAACAACAAAATTCTGAAAATAGTGTATCTTGCTTATTCTCTAAGCAAAATACTTCAGTTTTTAAAAGTAATTCTAAAGTGGTTTGGCAAAAGCACACCTACTTTTCTCTCAAGAAGCTGTAGTTAGGGATGCCACCTCTTCTTTGGTGTCCTCCCCTTCAGCAGGACAATTTATCAATGTGTATGAGAAAACACTGGCTTGGGATTCTGATGTAAAACTGGTTCCACAGAAATCACTAAAAGGTAACGAAAACTTGAATACCCTTATGTCATTACTTAACAGTTTTTGAACAGACAGCTGACTAAGGACTAGGAACAATTCAATAAAAGAATATATATATATATATATATACACACACACATATGTATGTATATAGAAGATCAAGTCTTATCTCTCTAAAAAAGGAATTACAAAAAATTCATAGTTAAAAAAACATTTAAGCTACCCTTTCAGAATAATACAAAGAAATATTCAAAAGTTCATGTTTCTACACCCCCTTAAATTAGGTATTTTTTCTCAAAATATTTAGCTGTAAGTTCCTAATGAATAAATATAACTGTCACACCCTTAAGTCTGTACTTCACTGCCTTATAGTATATTATAATTTAGTATCTGCTATAAGAAAAAGTTGATTCATAGTTTTGTTTGCAAATTCGAAACACTAGATTTGCCTAGATTATTTTTGTTAGTCCACGACTCTCTCTTTGGGAATCCCTAAATGTGAATAACGACCAAGGCTGGTACTTAGATAGAACTCATCCAACCCCTGATGTATTCAAAAAGAAAAATGCAACTTTTTCTTGACTTTAAAGTTCTGTCTGTTCTGCCAATCTCTAGCAGAAAGGGAAGTAAAAGTTATATATTAGCCATGCCTGGTATAAATCTGAGCTACGAGGAGGCTGAAGCAGGGGGATCCTAAGTACATGGCCAGCCTGTACAACTTAATGAGACTCTCTCAAAACAAAGAGGAATGGAAATGCAGCTCACTGACAGACTGCTTCCTTTGCACACACAAGACCTCAGATTCAATGTTCAGAGCCGTGTGTGTGTGTGTGTGTGTGTGTGTGTGTGTGTGTGTGTATCCAGCCATCTACAGCATCCCATTAACTGTTCTTAACACTGACAGGAAATTAAAACTGAGCAGTCAAGTCCTAACAATAGAAGTGCTCCCTCCTTCCATAGTCCATGCAAATTTCACTCAGTCCTATGGCTGTTTTCACTGGACACAAATGACTAATTGGGAAAAGAACTGACCATTTTCAGTAAAATGCTATGCATAAACAGGCATCTAGCCCTGAGTTCTGCTTTTATACTGTGCACCTGAGGCTGGGGGTAGGGGTGGGGGTATAGAGTATGTGTCTACCTGATCCTGATGCAAAATCACTTTTACCTTATTCACAATAAGGGCAGGTGGAGATCTGAATTTCTGCAATGTGTGGAATTCTGCTCCATAGCTAGACTACCTTTAGTTTCTGGTTAAAGGAATGATGGAGCGAGGGAAGGGAGGCTCAGTAACCAAATATTGTCTATAAACTTACAAAATGACTGTTAATCAAGATGAGGGGAAGGTTAGATTAAAAATAAGCCTTCCAATTCTCATGTACAAGCTGCCCGTAAGGACTCAGAGAAGGTCCTGAGAGCAGTAGCACTGGCCCTAGGGATCTAGCCACGCACAGTCTCCCTGGGGGCTGAGGTAAAGCATTCTAGCTAGATGTTTTCTTTCAAAGGCTGACACTGCACTGAAAAAGGAGAAACACTCCCAATGCTGAGTTCAGGCATACTTTCCCACAAGAGGGGAAATATTCTACAAATCCAACTGTACAATATACCAAATTAATTCAGAGGCACAGATAGGAAATTCTAACAGATTCAAAATACATTCTCCCCAAAGACAACTAATTTAAAAGTAAACTACTGAAACTTGAGCCACATTTCCACAATTTTGAATTTGTCCTACATAATACTTTAATACAAAGAGAATTATTAAAAAACTAGATGACATCTTTTACATTTACATTGTATCTAATTTGTGCTATTCTATATGCAGTAACTAGTATTTTTAGCTGCAGGAGAATGTAATGCATTACTTTGGAAATCAACAGTCAAAATGTATGCCCTTCACCCATCTGAAAAGGGCCTAAAATAACATAGTACATTGCATTACCACCAACAGATACTAAACTGAGTCTATTACTTTGGGTAAGTAAATCACTGAACTAGGATCTAGAGATGGGAAGCTTAAAACACTGTTGAGAAGGCAGGACTTGAAAACTATGGGATGAAAAAATACTCTGGGAAACAAAATCAATGATTTCTTAAATACTTCACAGAACTGTTCCTATATTTTTATTTTAAAAACAAATGCTCCCCCCCCAAAGACTTCATGGGTATTTGAATCTATAAATTTTGATGAAACAAGGTCTTCATAGTTAAACTGTTTTAAGGAATATATTTGGACATACTTATTTTTCTGCTAGTTCTTTAAACAATCTTGCTCAGTTTATTCATATACATCCTTAGCAGAACTGTGTGCATCCCAAAAGGCCTTGTGCATTATCTAGCATAGGCTTACATAACATAGCAATGTCAATCAGTATAAATAATTTGAGGTACAGCACTGGATGTACACAGTATGACACAATTACTACAAATTCTATTTTTCCTACAAATTCCTTTGCACTTCATTAGGATTTTTTCTGATTTACTGTTTTCATTCATTCACAAATGCATATCCCTATCTTTAATAATTAATTAACATGACATTCAATATTTTCACATTTACTATCACCAGAGATAGTATAGTGTATGGTAAAATTTTTAAGGCTCTTTTAAGAAGTCAAGTCATATTGCAAACACATAACAGAAAAACTGGAGAGAAAGTGTAATGAGTTGGTAGCAAATGATATGAGAGCCTCTATAATGAATCAAATGTTTCTTTCCTTGCTGGGAGACAGTTTTCATGTCCATGGATTCTACATCTGTGGGCTCAACCAACAGCAGAATAAAAATATTCTTGGGGGAAATGTTTGCCATTGCCCTGAATATAAGCAGGCTTCTTCCTGTCATTATTCCATAATCAATACAGTGTATAAACCATTCACCCTGCACTAACATTGTATTAGGTATTGCAGGCAATCTAGACTGAAAGTTCATGGGAGGGAACTTTACATAAGGGACCTGAGCATTCTGGGTTTTGGCATGGGAGGGTCCTGGAGCTCATCCTATATGGATACTGAGGGACAACTGTATGGTTCATATGATGGGTGAGAAATTCTGTAAATCAAGAACAAGAAGATGACTGCAGGGGGAGAGTGGGATGTACTTAACAGTACAACTTTTCCCAGGTTTCCAAAAGCATCTTTAAATCAGTACAGAGAACAAAAAGGGGGTAATAAGCTTTCAAATAATTCCAAAAGGAGCTGCAAACAATTCCTATCTAAAAAGATTTGTGGGTTTTTCAAGATTGAAAGTAATTAAGAAGTCACAATCTAAACTTTGCAGTGGAACCAATGAATTCCAAAGTCCTTTCCAAAACCACTGCATCCTACCCGCTAAAATGAGATTCTCACGTGCAGCAGCAAACCTGAAGTACAATCACAAATACCTGATACACACAGGAGTTGCAACTGGCTATTAAAAACTGTCAGGACAGCAAATAAAAACAGAAAGGTAAGGGTATTTATGCACTTAAAAGAATCTGGAAGAGATGCCCTTCAGTGTCATCCAGGTGCTATCAGTTAGAGTCCAGAGGACAATCTTAAAGCAAAACTTCCCAAACTGACATCTGAAAGAACTATTACATGGAAATTGAGAGGTATCAATGCTGTTTTGATTTAGAAGTCATTTTCTGTGTAAAGGTAACTAATCTGGAAAGTATGGGATATCCTACACCTATCTTGATCAATACTTCCCTTTATAAACTACTGGTGACATTATGACACATACATCAGTGTTCTGTTAGTTTATTCAATCTAAGTAACCCCCCGAGCAAACAGAGAAGGCTGAATTTCCATTTGGTAAATACAAGGCCCAGAACCTGTTTTATAAAGCCCAATGTAAAGAGCTTGACCTGTTTCCTTATCCCATCTGTTCTGGATGTATTCTATTAAACAATTTCCAGGACACATTCAAGTAAGTGAAGCTCAGCATGCATACATTCATGCATGCTGTCAACACTGCAATTTACAGAGGCTATCTTGCTTTCACCACACACAACACCAGTTCCCGTTCTATTGATAGGACTGACTTACACACATAAAATGAGATTCCTCCTGTTTTTATATAAAAGTACAAGAACTGCAGTACACTATGGAATCACAAAACAGCAATAGCTCATACTTAAGAACTAAAATTTAAATTAGTTGATCTTTTTTTTTTTGGTCTTTTTGAAACAGGGTAGCTGTCCTAGAACTCACTATGTAGACGAGGCTGGCCTTGAACTCACAGAGATCCGCCTGCATCTGCCTCCCAAGTGCTGGGACTAAAGGCGTGTGCCACCATGCCTGGCAAATTAGTTGATTTTTAAGCTACATCTAAAGAAAAATCAAAACTATGGATTTATCAAGTAGAATAAATAATTTAAAATATTAATACACACAAAAATCAGACTACCAAGTTACTTGATTATATTCTTGTTTCACTAAAATTCAGCAGAATAGATGGTAAGCTCAAATCCTAACACAAAATGAAAACCAGTAAGATTTATAATTAGAAGTTC